AACCCTGCCCCCCTACCCAGTACAGCACGGACAGCTCTCCCTCCTGTCAAAGTGACTCTAAGAGCAGAGAACAGCACCTCGTCTGCTCCATATGCTCACCTGCCCGAAAGCACTCCTTCCCTCACTCACTTGTCATCTACACTAACATCTCCCACACCAGCTCCAGCTCCAGCAGTGGAAAACAACAACACAAAATCAAATGTTGACACAGACCTGAGGATTGCCACCCTAGTGTCAGCTACCTTTGCTCCCATGCCTGGCGTAACAGATGGGGAACAACTGTGGGAGGCAGCACAGCTTCTGGGTAGGTTACACCTCATCTCATCTGTTGTGTGCTGAGCCTAATTCACAGTCAAAGTCTTTTTTTGCAACCTGGGAGTTTATAAGGTGGATGATGAGGAGTAGACTGTTTGTTTATCATTTATTGAACTGTTTTTTGTCTCTCCACTAGATGTCTCTTCTTCCATTCAAATTCAAAGACGAGGTAAAACTGGATTTCCTCTCTATAATAACAAACGCTTTGTTACTCAAAGCGCTATTTGTATATATTTGTATATATTTGTACCTGTTTATACTGGAGCTAGTAGTAATAGTTATATCATATACTAGAATATAATTTACTTAAAGGGGACCTATTGTAGTGCCCTGTACTTTTATTCTTGGATTCTGGAGTAGGTTAGCATAAGTCTAAGTTTAGAATAATTCCTGTTCATCTTATACTGGACCTTGACACAGCTCTTTAATTTATCTGCCATCTGAAATCAGTTAATACACCCTTTGACTGGCAGCACCTCACAAACAGAAGGCTTCACTGCAAGTGGGCAGGACTAAAAAGTTAGGACACACTCGAGATTATGGACAAGTTTAATAAAAAAAAAAAAACTATGATGCACAAAATGAAACTCTTGTACATAGTGAACATACTGTAGTGGTCAGATATGCTAAATGCTGACATCCTGATCACTTTGGGTATCTTTATTTCATACCAGGACCAATTTCCTGGTTCAGTATGGCAAAGGAAGCTCAGCTTACTGCAGGTCACTGAAGAACTCAGCTGATGTTGTTGTGTTGTTGTACATT